AGTCGCCGGAATAGGCGCCGGAGCCGTCGCCGGAATCGGAGACGTCGCCGGAGTGGTCGCCGGAGCAGTCGCCGGCGTGGTGGGGTGGTGGTGATGGGGGTGGGTTAATTTTATATATATTTATTTATTTATTTATTTATATCTTTTTATATATTTAAATAAATAAATAAATATTTATAAATATGTGTATATATAGGTCAAAAAATCTGATTTTTGAAATGTAAAAGTTGTTTTGTTATTTTTGAAATAGGGTAAAGATAAAGTAGGGAAAGTGAATTTTTACCAATTGAAAAACCAAACATTATAGGCCCAAACTACTGGCCCATATTTAAACTTTGGAAATTGCAACTTTTCAACCCCTGAATTATATTTACGCACTCTTGGGAAGTTTCAGGAAGAACCCTAGCTCAGAATTTCACCAGCACCAAGGTACGATTTCATTATTTTTAAGAATTTTGTTTTTTCTAAATGTTTTATGTTATCATTTCCCAATAACCCCATGCAAAATTAAACAAGCGAGATTCATTTTCCTAAAAATTTGGCTCTGCACAGTTCTTTATTGCTTGTTTTGCCGAGTTTCTCATCGTTTTAGTGCTCTGTTTCAGTTTAGTTGAATTTAGAAAATCCAAAATTTACATTTTTAGATCAAGCCTCTGCCAGGATTTTATTGGACAGTACCCGGCATAAGATTCTGTTGCTATGTTGGTTTTGAACGGAAAAATCTAGGAAGATCACCATGATTTTTCAGGTTTGACAGTTCGGCCGAAAACAGTTTATGAGGCTTTTGCTACATACTTTCATAAAGATAGTTCGGTTGTAAATAATTGTTTTATAAATGGTAAAATTAGGACAGAATATGAGAAACTGCCAACACCTGCCGATTTGGAGAGGTCGATAGGTAATGTGCCACTCCAATTGTAGTGTGTAGATCTCCGTTGGCAGATAACAACCCAGAGCTGGAGTCTAATCTGTACCGAACAATAATTATGAAACCTAACTTGTCTTTTCTTGAATAGAAAAAGTGATATCTTGATAAAGAAATTAGAATTGTTGAACTATAAAGTTTCATGGACAAAGCTAAATTACAGAACTTATCTCATTCTATGTAATTTTCTGTTGACTTCTTCCTGTAAGTATACCACTAATTCTAGTGCCATTGCTTTTTCTCTGTTTATGTGTTTGCATGCTTTGTTAAATGTATTCAAACCATCATGATTGGTTATCACACGATCCATTGACAAAGGTCACTATCATGGAAAACTCAGATATTTTTCTTATTTCTATCTCGTGTGGTTTTGTTTGAAATCCATGTCGACATCTTCATCATGCCTCTTCAATTTATGTAGTAGTTTCTTAATGGCCCACTATCCGTTTCTATATAATATTGCAAATCCTATATTCTATTGAATTTTTCGATTATTCTTATAGGGATTTGCCAATTACGCAAAACCCAAGATGCAGCCCACCTTTTTACCTGACCAAAAACCATCTTTGATATCTCCCCATATAAACTATCGAGCATAAGTATTAGAGCCTTCCGATTAGGTATGTTTGATCTGATGGAACTTAGTGACAGCCAGTTGGATACTATCAAAGATTTATTGAAGAAAAGAAAGGAGTTAGCATCTGGAAACAATAGAAAGGTCTGCGTCTTGTTATTTCTGAAAAGGTAGTCAAAAGGATGTCCAGGGTTAATGGAAGTGAAATGATTGATCTATATTTAGTGTTAGTCGAGTAATGTAATGTCCAAAGAAGTGTAGAGGGATCCTGAAAGTCCTATGAATATGGTGTTTGTTACTATTAGATCATGTGCCAAACAAATAAAAATGACACTTCAGCATCATTTTTAATTTCCAAACTAAGTCCACCCCTTATTGTGTCAAAGCCTCTATTTTCCTACATATTAGTTGCAGTGTCTCGTACAAATTATCTCCTGCAGTATATTTCGTACTAATATCTCCATATCCTCCCTAAATTTCCCCTTTAACTCCCAATCTCCTATTCCAATTTCTGCAGCACTAGCACTCACAGTTTTATATTTGTTATCTTTCACTCTTTATATATAAATAAATATAGATGCAGATATATGGTTTGAGATAGATAAATAGATGCTGTCTGTGGCCACTGAATATGTGGTGGCAGAGAGAGCACAAGGATTGCTTTACCGTAAAAGTGAGGAGTGAAAGACAGAATTCTCCTTTTCTTCTATTTGATATCCTCATCTTAGCCAATCTACTGCAATGTCCTTGTTTTAATTAGATGTCGCGAGTAAGTTATGTCCTAAATTGTTCGAACAAATTCTACTAACCTTCATGTAGTAGGCTAGCAAAATCAATACATGTATATATGTGTATATGTGCATCTTCATCGCTAATGATGCTGTTTGAATTGACCTTTTTAAATTTGATTTTTTATTCGCAGATAACAAATGAGGGATTCTTTCTTTCTTTCCATCCCCCTATATTTTCCCTATTTACTTATTTCCTTTTTCATTGAGGGTGATATAACATTTTTGTTTGCTAATTCTCTGAGCAGAAAGCAGAAGTGAAGATGCAAGTCGAAAGTTCTCTGTCTGTGGTTGGTCCGAGGCCAACAGAGTTGTCAACTATGATATATAGTGGCGGCCCACCTGTGCCTGGACCAAATGGGAAACAACGGAGTTCGAGCTTGGAGTCACCAATCATGTTGCTAACGGGGCACCAAAGTGCAGTCTACACAATGAAATTCAATCCAGCGGGAACTGTTGTTGCATCTGGTTCACACGATAGGGAGATCTTCTTGTGGAATGTACATGGCGATTGCAAGAACTTCATGGTCTTGAAAGGGCACAAAAATGCTGTGTTGGAAGTGCAGTGGACTACTGACGGCGCACAAATAATATCGGCCAGCCCAGATAAGACTTTAAGAGCATGGGATGTTGAGACAGGGAAACAAATAAAAAAGATGATGGAACACTCATCTTTTGTGAATTCTTGTTGTCCCACTCGAAGGGGCCCACCTCTTATTGTTAGTGGGTCTGATGATGGGACTGCAAAACTTTGGGATATGAGACAAAGGGGTTCCATACAGAATTTTCCTGATAAATATCAGATTACAGCAGTCAGTTTCTCTGATGCATCTGATAAGATTTACACTGGCGGCGTTGACAATGATGTAAAAGTGTGGGATATACGGAGAAGTGAGGTTATTATGAAGCTCCAAGGACATCAAGATATGTTAACTGGTATGCAGTTGAGTCCAGATGGTTCTTACCTTCTGACTAATAGCATGGACAACACTCTTCGAATATGGGACATGCGCCCCTACGCACCACAAAATCGTTGTGTGAAGATTTTGGAAGGGCACCAGCACAATTTTGAGAAGAACTTGCTGAAATGTGGTTGGTCACTTGATGGGAGCAAGGTTACTGCTGGTAGTAGTGATCGCATGGTCTATATATGGGATACAACTTCTCGTCGCATATTGTATAAGCTTCCAGGCCATACTGGATCAGTTAATGAGTGTGTGTTCCATCCCAGCGAGCCTATCGTTGGCTCCTGCAGTAGTGATAAGCAGATATATCTCGGTGAAATCTAAATGACTTTCTGTACTTTCTCCTTCTTTTCGTATGATTGTGAGGTGAAAACAGTTGGAAATTGTTTCTATTTTAGTTAATATTTGATCTTTGGCGTTGATAGATGTTCCATTTAGCAGTTAAGCCTGGAGAATTTGTTGTAACGTGTATTGTTAGCTAGAAACTGAATTTAGCTCACTTTTCACTGTTGTAACACGGATTATCAATTCATACTACGGCTCTTTTGACATGATTTCCGCTTTTTTCTACTTATTATTAAAAAGTTTTTTGAAAAAATTACCTTTGTAAACTAATTTTCTAAAATAACTTTTGATTTTTCAAAAGTAATGTCAAACGAGTCGTACATCTATCCCAATTAGGATTATGTTTTAATTCATTTCAAAGTTTCAAGTGCTCTACGCCAGTAAATATTAGAGTTGAATAAAGTACGAAAGGGCAAATAAAAAGGATCTTTGCTAGCATAACAAGGGGATGGAACTAGTGGGAAAAGTAACTTTTCTTATGCTAAAAGCGCAAAATAAGTGCAATAAGTAAAAGTTAACAAAAGACAACTAAAAATAATTATTTTTCTCCAATTAATACTTATTAACGGATATCTTTGAATTCTTCAGCCCAACGTTGGTGGGGGCCCAATAGTCATGGCCCACTACTTGTCCATTCATAAACCCGAAAAGTCAAGTAGAAAATCTAACCCCTGAAACGGGCCCAGGCTCCTCGTTGACTCCTCACAAAAACGACGCCGTATAACTCCAACAAAAAGATCCCGTAGTATTCAAAATCAACCGAAAATAGCAAGCGCACTTATCGCTTTCTGCTTCATTTCACGCACACACAGTACACACGCACTGAGTGTGAGACGACGATGGCTTCGTTGTTGAACAATCCAGTGACTTTTCAGTACAATTCAGACGTCCGGTCTAAACGGTGGCGTTCTGGAGCCAACTCTTTGGGATTTAGCACCAAGTCTTTTAATAGTATTATCAATATCGGCAATTGTCGTAGTATCAATGTCAGTAAGAGTAAAATTGTGTGTGAAGCAATTTCTGTGCAGCCACAAACTGCGATTGAAGGCCTTAACATTGCAGAAGATGTTACCCAGGTGGGATTTTCGGGTTTTCATTTCATTTTCATTTTTCAAACTTGAAGTGCGGTTCGATAGATTTAAGTTTTTCTATTTTTTTCGTTTTCGTTTTAGCTTTCTTTTAGTTTGAATTTAAGTTTAACTTAGTGTTGGCCTTTTTTTTTTGGTTCTAGTATTCTAGTAAGAATAGCTGAGGAACTTCCTTGTAGTGGTGTTAATATACTCTGGCGACTTCATAATCCTAGTTAATTTAGAGGAAATGAATTAATTTCTGGTCATTGTTTAGTGCTAAAATCAGTTGTCAGATAATTTGAATGATAAAAAAAATTCGAGGATTAAATAGTTGAAAGGTAAGTCTAAGTTTAATGCTTCATTGTTTTATCGCCATTTTTTTTTGGGGGGGGATAGAATGAATTGGAAAAAAGAAAATTTGTACTTGTGCTGAAGAGGGGTGGAATCTTTGGAGATGAGGTTGATTTATTGCTTACATATTTTGCTGAAATGAATTTACATTGATGGCGAATGAATGTCAAAATTATTCTTGAAGCCTTGTGGGTAGGTTGAGGCTATAATTTTGGTTTGACAATTTATATGGTCTTCGTTATATTTGATGCAAGAAGATAGAATGATGTGAAAGTTTTGTAGTATAGCTTAGTTAGCGTTTATCAAAAGGTTTTTTCTTTCCTTGTATACTATTTTAAACTACCTTGATGGAAAGCCTTAATTTATCTATTAACTATTATTTTTTTCACTGTTGACACATTGTGGCAGCTTATTGGGAAGACACCTATGGTTTACTTGAATAATATTGTAAAAGGTTGTGTTGCTAACATAGCTGCGAAGCTTGAGATTATGGAGCCATGTTGTAGTGTCAAGGACAGGTGAGAACACTTCTGTTTTTTTATTGAAGATTTTGTAAATGCGAACAAATGCATTTACTGGTTGCTTTCTGCCTTGATATTTTTCAACTTCCAACTATACTGCAAAATAAATCCTTAAGATAACGTGGTTAGCTGTCAATTATAATTTACTCCAATCAGTATCTATAGTATATAAAATTTGAGTTTCACTCAGTTTGTCTGTGGCTTGACATATATCCTGCTAAGAATAGGATCTTGATGTCTGACATGATTGAGCTTAGTATCTACTTGTTTATATTGTTATTTCTTGTTCGTCGTTGAATTTCATATTTTTGACGCAAGGTTCTAAGTTTGAGAAACTAATTGTGATCTGGAGTGCTTCTATGACTTCCAATAATTCTATTTTTCTGACGATAATCTTTGCTTTCAGGATAGGATATAGTATGATAGCTGATGCTGAGGAAAGAGGGCTTATAACTCCTGGGAAGGTAAGACGCATATCAAAATACATGCCTAATTCTATAAAGGCTTGATTTCTTACCACCCTGTCCTCTTCCCCTGACCCACCAAAATAAAAAAGAAGAGGATATACAGTAAAGTGTAATGTATACAATAAGGTCCTATTTGATTTGGCTTTCTTTTTCTGGAAGATGGAAATTAAATTCCATTTCCACCTTTGTGCATTTTTATTTTTTTTGTAATGGAAACAAATTATATCCCTTTAATGGACAATTTCCATGGAAAACAATGTCAAACGAACATCAAAAGATCCAAATTTTCAATATTTTCCAGGTGGAAATTTATACCAATCAAACACGATTAATTGACAATTTCCAGTAAAACAAGTTTTAGGCAATTCAATTCCTTGGAATTTATTTTCTTTTCACCCAATTTCATTTTTGCAATCAAACGGACCCTAATTGAGCAATTGGCTTTATCTTCCTTTATTAGATTTGCTCACTCTGTATAACCTATCACGTTTATTTTAATAACGTCGGCAAGATCAATTACTGCCATTGACCCCCTATAAAACTTGAGCCAGATTTTTTTTTGGTTGCATATCATTTGCAATGTAGATAAATAGCATCCATGTCCAAAGTGATTGTTGCATGCATGCCAATATAATGCTGTTCTGGTGGATTCCACTCCCAACTTATTCTCCTAGGTGTGTTTTTGCACTAGTTTCTTGACTTCTAATCATATAGTGTTGATCAGATTGCTTATGATTTTAGCTTTTTGTTGCTAAAAGGTCAACTGAATACCTCTTTACTTGTTGAGATGAAATGTTTTTGTGAACAAATTGCTATTTACTCTTTACCGTTATATGTTATTGGACTTGGTCTGGTTTTGATCTTATTTATCACCACATAGTTGGCAATGTCACTTATTACTTGCATCTGGTACAGTATTTTATAATGGGAATATATTTTTATTCTAGAGTGTTTTGGTTGAACCTACAAGCGGAAACACTGGTATTGGGCTCGCATTTATTGCTGCTTCGAAAGGATACAAACTCATCTTGACGATGCCTGCTTCAATGAGTCTTGAGAGAAGGGTTCTTTTGAAAGCATTTGGAGCTGAACTTGTTTTAACTAATTCAGCCAAAGGTATGAAAGGAGCTGTGCAAAAAGCTGAAGAAATATTGAGTAACACTCCCAATGCCTACATGCTTCAACAATTTGACAACCCTGCAAATCCCAAGGTTCTTTTGCCTTGCTCTTCATAACTTATGCTCTGATAGAGTCAATTTTTTTTTTTTCAGTCAATTAATAGATTATGTTGTCAGTTGTGACCATTTGGACTCAAGTTGGTTTTAAGCACCCTCCAAAATGAGTCTCGTGTCTGTGGCAAGTAGATTCATGTCTTTTACCTTTTCTGCTGGAAATGTTATTAATGTAATTTGGTTGGAACTTGGAAGTATATCTAATGGGATATTATCCAGGTTTCAATTTTTTGATGCTCTATATTTATATCAGACCTCAGAACAAGGGGTTTAAATTTTTGAAGGAAAAGGGATGACATTGAAATTGTAGATGATATTTCATGTTTGTGTATTTTGTGCAGATACACTATGAAACAACAGGTCCAGAGATCTGGGAAGATACAAGTGGCAAGGTGGATATACTTGTTGCTGGGATAGGGACTGGTGGAACCATTTCAGGGGTTGGTCGATACCTCAAAAAGCTCAATCCTAATATTAAGGTAACGAAATTGCCTCTTAGAGAAACTTATGTATGCTTGCACAGTGACAAATGAGCTTAATACTGATGAAATTATTTCTACCTTGCCTAAGAAATCAAAGTTTTTCGAATGCTATGCTTGTTTTCGTCATTTATTGTAACACTCCATTCTCTGCTTCCGTTGCTTCAGATTATTGGTGTGGAACCCACAGAAAGTAACATACTATCTGGTGGAAAGCCTGGTAAGATGACAAGCCAAATATGATATGCTTTCTTTTTCAGCGTTAAATTGTGTATAGTTCTGGTACATGCAATTTGAAACTGCAGGCCCTCACAAAATTCAAGGGATTGGAGCAGGTTTTATACCAAAGAATTTAGACCAAGATGTGATGGATGAAGTCATAGAGGTTTGCGTCTTGCTTCCATTTATTCTATACAGCTGATTTGCTTATAAAATAACTTATTAAATTTTTATAAATCATTTATCTTATCTCTATGCTAGAAAACTTAATCGTAGAGTTATGTTTTTCGGACAGGCATAAAGTTCAATAGAAAATTTTACCATGTTATGGTTTTTTTTGTGGAGCAGATATCAAGCGATGAAGCTGTTGAAACTGCAAAGCAATTAGCTCTTCAAGAAGGCCTGCTGGTTAGTTGTTCACTCTAGTTTTGTGCTAATGTATTTGATCTCTCTTACGATCTAGATGAATGCACGACTGAACAATTATTACCTCCTGCATTTCCTATTAAATTGTGAAAATTTTATAACTTTGGTCCCAACCATTGACAAATTAAGCACTTGATCCCAATAAAAATTTTCTGACATTAGATCCCCCGATCATTCATCTATGTTGCATGTGGGTCTCTACTGGATGGAACTG